CAATCAGGAGAGCCTTGAACAGTGAGGCCAAAAATTTCCCAGGGGCCGGTATTACTTTCCTGTGGCTGCCAGAACAAATTGCCACAAATTTGATGACTTAAAAGAACAGAAATTTATTCTCTCACAGTTCAGAAGACCAGAAGTCCAAAATCAAAATCACTGGACTGAAATCAAGGTGTTTTCTTACCTCTCTCTTAAAAGGACACTTGTGACTACATTTAGGGCCACCCTGATAATCTGGGATAATCTCCCCATCTCAAAGTCCTTTATTTAATCACATCTGCTAAGACTTTCACGTATAACATTCACAGGTTCCAGGGATCAGAACCTAATATCTTTGGGGCTCATTATTCGCCTACTACAGGCTCACAGAGACAACACAGTCTAAGAGGGGCCTGTCTCCAGCCAGCCTGTGGGCATGGCCCTTGCCTGAGACCAGTGGACGGCACAGCACCTGTCGCTTGACAAACCAGCACATCCCGGGAAGGGGTCCGTCTGCCAGGATCCTCGGAGAGCAGGGAAGCAGCCTCTGCAACGGAGGTGGTGGGATCTGAGACTCCACTGGAACTAGCTAGGACAGAATTGGGAGGTAAGCATCCTGGTGAGGAGACCCTCACCTGAATCTGATTTTGAGTTCTCATTTCACTGGCTCCAAGCTCAGCAGATACTCAGACAGGAGCCAGGCCCTGTGCCAAGTCCTGGAGAGCCAGCCCTCGTCCTCACAGAGCTCGCGGTCTAACCCAGAAGCAACACTGGCCCAGAAAGCACGGCTGTCTTCAAGATGCTGCAAATGCAGGCAAGGCCCCTCTCTTCTGGCAGTGGAGAGGCGGGGCAGGGGGGCGTTTTTATCTGGGCTTCGCATTTACTCTATCCCCTACCCCAGTGCCTTCCTGTCCTTGTTATTATTCACATTTTACAAACGAGGAAAACGGCTCAGAGGGGTGATGTTGTCATTTCTTGTCTCTTCCTCTTGCCACCTTAAAAGTGAAATGACACTGGCTCATCTCCCCTTAGACGCGCCTGCAAAGGAAGTGGCTCCGCCCAAGCTGTGCACTTGCCGCTTCTGTAAAGCTGACCGCAGCAGCCCGGGCACAGGAGCCCTGGAGTCAGGCGGCATTTGACTCGTTCAGTGTCTCTCGAGCCCCAATCCACACCGAATCTGAGTAAAGCAGAGGAACAGGTAGCCAGCCCTGCCTTCTCCGCACAAACAGTGGTAAGCTCCCTCTAAAACCAAGAAAAGCTTCTGCCGTGAAACTCTGGGGCTCTAGCGGCAGATTGGGAAGCCGCAGGGCCTCTTTCAATCCTACAGTGGAAAAAAACGGGAGCTTGCATGTGGAGAGAATCTTCTAATCTCAATTTTGCCTCTTTCTAGCTGTGTGACTTTAAGCAAATCACTTAAAACCTCTATGAACCTGTTTCCTTATCTGTAAAATGGGCGTAGAAAAGGCGAGCCTGCCTAAGAGGACAATTACACAGGCGCTGAGCGTTTAGCAAGCCTTCAACCGTCGCTTATTAAGAGTCCACTTAGGGCTAACCGCGTGCTACCCCTCCAGGTGGGCCCTAGGACAGGGATCTTCTACCTCCTCTGCTCCCCACTTCTTCGGGCCATCCTCGGAGGGTGTGCCCCCCTCCCCAGCCACCCAATTCCCTTAAGGTCCTGGCACCCGGGCCATGTCGAGTCAGCTCGCGGAGCGCTGGACGCCGCGGCCAAACAGGCGCGGGTGGGGTGAGGCGCACGAGGCAGCGCCTGGAGCGAGTTCAGGGGTTTTGAGCCACCAGACCGGGAGTCAAGCGCGCAGTCAGGCCGGGTAGAGCCCCCGCTTGCCCGCTCCAGCTGCACCCTCCCTCGCCCCGGCGTCGCCCCCGCGCCTCCCACGCGCGAACTAGGGGCGGGGCGCTCCCGGCCGGCGGGGCCCACGCGGCGGGCGGGGCGAGCCGGGGCCTTTGTGTTCAAACCGCCCAATGGGCGGCAGCCGTGGGCGGTGACGCGGGCGGGGCCTGGCCAATGGACTGCGGTCTGTCAGCGTTGACTGACAGGCGCACACATACACACTCGGCCACGCGCGCGCCGCCCGGCCCCACTCGCGCAGCGCGGTTCTGCGCGGGCCGTGTTGTCCGCCTTTCCGCCGGCCTCGTCCCG